CTTTCCCTCTTACCGAGAAGATGGAGACCCAGAGGACAATATCAAGAAAAGATCCAAACTTGTGATTCGAACTGGTTCCGTGTGGCTTCTACATCTGCTGGATCGGCCAACAAACTCGACAATCGATAGGGTTTGTCGCTGTTTCGATTAAGCGATCTCTCACAGATCTCCGATCCTCTGTTTCTCGCCCTGCTCGTTGGTTTTCGTTCTTCTGGATTTTCTTTTTCTTTTTCTTTTTTTTCTGGGTTAGATCTCGTTTTCGTCATCTGGGTTTATCTCAGCTCGTGTTCTTGCTGGATGGTTTATAGATTTATTTGGCGTGTTTGCTCGCTTACCTGTTCTTGACGTCCGTCTGAAATGGGGGTTGTCTTGTTCGAAGATGTGGTTTGTGTGAAAACTTCTTGTGTCAATTGATCTTATACGTACGGATTTGATGGTTTTATTGCGACAAATCATCTGAAGGGGATCGCACATGAATCCAACGATTCCAGTTCTCTTCAATGATTCATCATAGCATGTCTAATTGCTGATTTGCTTCCATCCCCGCTCAGAAAGTGTAGTTAGTTGTGAAATCTGAATTTCTCTTAGAAAAACCCGTGCCCTATTCTCGTATATCCTGTGAAAGGACTGTGACGCTCATTAAGGTTTAAAGGGAGGAACTTTTTCATGTTTCGATTCCATGACTAACGCATTAACATCGCTTCTCTCTTTAGGTACTGCCAAAAGCAAACTTTATAGCATGGTCGAGATCCTCCGAGAGAGATCAAGCAATTAAAGAGAGATACATTTCTGAAAAGGTTAACAAATGCTCTGATTGTTTCTTGATGTCTTATTACTTACCTTCTTAATAAGTCATGTTTCATCTCTGGTTATAGTCTGTTTTCCACTTGAACGAGCCTGTGGTGCTGTTTTCTGATAGTTTATGAGGCATTTATTCTGGCGAAAGTTTTGCTTTTCCCGGTAGCTTATACTTTTAAACTTGTAAACGTCAGAAGTTCCAAGATCAGGTTCGGCTTACTGAGAGATTCGTTCTATATGTGAGACGAGTAGGAAAGATGTTTTAGAGTTACATTTTTCGTTCTCCAGTCGATATCAACTATCTTTTAGTTAACACGCTGGTATTTGACGATAATGATTCTGTTTTTGTTGGCATTTAACTTCTGGTACTGCGTATTTTACTGAAGAAAGAAACCGATGTGGTTCTTGCTCCATATAATTATAAATTGATGACCAAGAATCATATGTAACAGGTAGTTCATGCCCAGTATGTTGCAGCCACAGAGTGAAGAAAATGAAACCGGGAACATAACGGAACAAGGAAACGAAACGAATGTCTCAAGTGTCACAGATTATCCAGATGGTGGTAGTCTTCATGTACCTGTAGGTGTCCCGTCTTCACCGGAATCACCATCCTCTTCACCTTTTGAGGAGGCCGAAGATGGAGGCAACCAATTATCTGGAGCTACTAGTCCGAATCAATTGGTGGTTTATGAATCCAAGGGCAATAATGGTACAGAAGAAGGCCAACCTACCCAATATCCGAGCTTTTTAATCCCGAGATCTTTCTCCCCTTCCAAAGCATCGCCATCCATCGGTGCTTTCACAGTCCAGTGTGCAAGCTGTTTCAAATGGAGACTCGTACCCTCGAAGCAGAAGTACGAAGAGATGCGGGAGCACATTCTAGAAAAGCCCTTTTTCTGCGAAACGGCGCGTGAATGGCGGCCGGATATTTCCTGTGATGTTCCAACTGATATCTCACAAGACGGAACCCGACTCTGGGCTATTGATAAGCCTAATATCCCTCAGTCACCTCCTGGGTGGCAACGGCTGCTGCATATCAGAGGCGAAGGAAGTACCAAATTCGCAGATGTGTAAGCCCTTTTGTCCGATTTAGTGTTTCTTATTTCTGTCTTGTCATTCTTTCCCCAGAAAACCATATCATCTAATTCATCTTAGTTCTGTGCCATTATATACTGTATGTAATAGTATTATAACTCGAGGAAAATGTTAGGCATGTTTCTACTAATCAAATGCAAACCCGTTTGGGAGATATCTCGTGTGTGATCGATTCTGCGGCCTTTCGAGGTCACCTAACACGTTGAACTATATTTTGAACATAGTTGGCCTCAGCCCTTAACTTTATTTTTGCCGGTCTTTTTCAGGTATTATGTTGCTCCGACAGGAAAGAAGCTTAGATCAATGGTGGAGGTTCAAAAGTTAGTTTCCCGGAATTCCATTGCCACTTTCTGTTAGCCTTACATTCCCGGTTTCTCCTTTACATCATTTCAACTTAATGCGTTGCTGTTCAAGTAAAAGGAACTGTAGCTTTCCGGTAACATTTTAGTGAAGCCAGACGGTAACTAAAGATATGGTCGGAACGTTACTAAGTGTTGTCTTGTGATAATACTAACTACTACGTTTGTCGTTGAATCGTTGATGCAAAAGATACATTACGTTTCTAATTTTTTTAGCTGAGGAACATGACTCGGATATTTTTTCTTACTTGTAAACCCTCTCTTTTATTCTTGCAGGTACTTGGCCGAACATCCTGAACACGTTAGTGAAGAGGCAACTCCTTCACGATTCTCATTTCAAATCCCTAGACCTTTACAGGAAAACTACGTCAGGAAGCGCCCTGCTCGGGTTGTGGCTCCCGGCGACAATACAAAAGCCCCCGATGCTACTGAAGGTATGCTCCCCTTCTTTTTCCTTTTCCTTTTCCGGCGTCAATGGGTGAAATTTTTCGAGTTTTTCTTTTACGGCGGTCTGAAAGAAGAACACAGAATTTGCTTGATCTGTTGCAAAACAGAACTGTTTCTATAAGTCGGAGATTCCTATAGCAGTTTAGTTTTGATCAGTAGCATAAACTTTGCATGTAGCTAGATAGATAGATAGATAACAAAGGGTAAGAGTCTCGAGGGAAGTTACCGAAACGAGAACGCGTAGTATCACAATTGCGAATATTTCAAACCGAATCCGACTCTCGCACAAATTTCTTCCGTTTATTTTCCTCTTATTTTCAGCAAAGCCGCTGACTTGGATACCTCCAGAAGACCTCACAGACTTGCAGCTAGGTTTACAAACAGAACCGGGTCTCGACCCTTCTCGTGATATGCCGTCTAAGAAGCCGAGGAAATCGCAGCCGCTGACTGGTGGTCTCAATGTCGAAAATGCTGAGGATCAAGGAAATGTCGATCTGGACAAGACTGGGCATTCCAGTGAGGGCTCCTGATACTCATTTGGTACCGAACCCTTCTTCTTTTTGCATCAGAAAACAGAGAAAAACCTCGTATCTTGTCGGAGTGTTCATCAACCTGTTTTTGGTTTCTTGTTTTGTTAGTTTTGTTCATGTCTGATAGAGCAAGGCTTTGCGAGGTTGAGAGATCAAAGGACGAGTTTCTTTTTCTTTTCTTTTTCTTTGGGTATCGGAGAAGGGGGGAAACAAATCACGTAGAAGAAGAAACCTAGTACGTGTTTTAGTTGTCTTGCATGTATTATTATTATTATTATTATTATTTTTTTTTAAATTCGGAAGCTGGCCGAATCTTCGATCCAACTACATGTTCGTGTCAGAAAATTGGAATTGGGGTTGAATAAAAGTGGCATTTTAGTATAAAAGATCGTTTTTTTTGTACGTTTTGTTATAACAGTCTTTATAATAAGTGACAATGACCAAAGACCAAAGTCAATCTTTAGAAACAATAGACCTCGGACAAGATATTTAACCAAAAAACAAAACGGCTAATAAAATTGATATATTGTATGCCAAAAAGGTATAAGATATGACTAGTATTCGCTTCGATAAAAAAACAAATGAATGTATTACGTTATTCTCCTGTAATAAATCTCCCTAAAATCACTTATATGCATATTACAATACACATATGTAATATAAACTGCAAATAATCAATAAGGTTAATGATATATTTTCGCTAACAGAAATATATATCCTTTGTAACCCAATCAGAATACGCCACTGATTGTTCCAAATCTTATCTTCGAGCGACGGTAGAAAAGTAGTGATTGTCTTTCGATTAACGATGGATGTAGTTGGATCAAAAAACGAATAATTAATCTAAATTACACGGATGTTTCTACGATATATATATATATATATATATATATTGGGCGAGTGGATAAGTGTGAGCAATTCGAGTTTTGTTTTAGGTTACGTGGTTTACTATTACTTTTTACCTTATCTAATTTTGTAAAACAGAATAAAATTTATATAAAAAATCACCAAAAAACTCTGTACTCTTCTTATGTCGACAAAAAAAACTCTATACTTTTTTTATTACCAAAAACTTCTATACTTATACTTATTTGTTAAAATATACTTGTACTCTTCGGATGTCAGACAAAAAATTCTGTATTTTTTTATAACCAAACAAACCCTATACTTATACTCATTCACCGAAAGATATCTGTAATTTATAAATTCTGGCAAATAAACCCTTAAACACAAACGCAAAAAAAAAACGATAAAAAATCTGTCCGAACCTAACCCAATCGATATATATATCTGAACCGAATCGAATCGATTAAAATAATATACTATATTGGATATGAATATGTCAAATCCGAAATAAGCGAACCCGAAATAACCGAACCGAATCCAACCGATATACACCCGAACCTAATCGAATCGATTAAAATAATATTCGGATATAAATATTTAAAATTCGAGTGAATCCAATATCATTATATTAATTTTTCTAATTAAATTTAGAATATATTGGGTATTAATTAATGATATATAGGTAGATAAACGGTTATATTTAGTTACAGTTAATTCGAGTTCGGTTTATTCGTTTTACAGTTATGTTGGGTTCGGTTATTTCGAGTTTGGTTATTTCGGATTTGAAATATTCATATCCAATTTTGTATATTATTTTAATCGATTCGATTCACTTCGGGTATATATCGGTTGGGTTAGGTTTAGATAGATTTTTAACCGCGTTTTTTTTACATTTGCGTTTAGAGGTTTATTTATTAGAATTTATCAAGTACATATATATTTCGGCGAATAAGTATAAGTATAGGATTTGTTTGTTAATACAAAAATACAATTTTTTTTGTTTGACATCTAAAGAGTACAAATATATTTCGGCGAATAAGTATAAATATATGATTTTTTATAATAAAAAAGTATGAAATTTTTTGTGGACATATATAAAGAATATAAAGAGTACATTAGTTTTTTGGCAATTTTTCCAATTTATATTTATATTTCTAAAAAAATGTAAAATTACTTAGAGCAGAATAAATTTTATAGTATATTAGGTTATTATGGGTGTTAGAATTGTATTCAATCTTGTATTACGAGGTTTTTTAAATCAATATTTCAAATTTTTATATGATTAATTATGAATTGTGTATAACGTTTTCGATATAATTACTTTTTATTTCACTTACAACTTATTGAAAAAGTTCCAAATTTTTTCATTTCTTTAATAATAAATTTATAAAATTTTTGAAATAACTTAAATTCCAATTTCACTTTCATCGCATATGTATGAATGATTAAACCATTAAATTAGAAATTTAGAATATTAAGCAGAGTTGTTTATCTTTATTTAAATTAAAAAAACAACGGATATGTTCATTCAAATATTTGATAAAAAAAATGCTAATTGAATCTAAAAGTCATGCAAATATTACGTATGGTATGTGGTATATAAAATCTTTATCGTGGAGTGTATAATTTATGTTTCTATATATTTGACTCAAAATAAATTGAAATTTGAATATGAACTAATTATTTTTATTTTTTTACAATTCGGAAGCTTTCGACCCTCTTAATATGTATTTTCATCGTTATATTGAGTATTCTTGGAGGTTAATGGAAAATTTGAAAATTATCCCACACTTTTTCGATTTTTTTCTCTCTCTCTATGTTCTTTCTTCTCTGTCTTCCTTCTTTTGGTCTTCTTCGTCAGCTAGACCACACAGACTTATTAAAACAACAACTTATCTTAGTGACTATCACTGTTATTTGTTACAGTATCCTGATTCACCTCCTCCCTATTCCTCCGTTATCCTATAGCCTTTTTTCTTTCTTATTCCCATTTGTCAGCTCCTTATTGACATTTTTCTCTTTCTATTTCTCGTACCCTGAATCTACATCATTTTCTACTGCTGTTAAGTTTGATCATTGGAAAAATACTATGAATCAAGAGTTAGAGGCCTTAGTTAGAACTAATACTTGGGAGATTTTCTCATTACCACCTGATAAACACCCTATTGGTTGTAAATGGATTTTTAATATCAAATACAAGCCAGATTGGTGGAAAAAGTTATACTCAATTATAGGGTATAGATTATGTTGAAACATTCAGTCTCGTAGCTAAGATGACTACAATTCGGATTGTCTTAGCTGTTGCTACTACTCAGAATTGGCTGATTCAACAAATGGATGTTTCTAATGTCTTTTTGAATGGTGATCTCTCAGAAGAGATTTACATATCTTTGCCATCTGGCTATGCTACGCTTAAGGGGGAGAAAGTGACTGCCAATTCAGTTCGTAGGCTGCTTAAATCTTTATATGGCCTTAAGCAAGCTTCTAGGCAGTGGAACTTGAAGCTATCTCAGGTTTTATTGGATTCCGGTTGTGTCCAATCAAAATCTGATGCATCATTATTTGTAAAAAGGCAAGGCTCTAGTATTGTGGTTATTTTGGTATATGTTGATGATATCCTACTAGCTGGAAATGATACTGAACTTTTGTCATCAATGAAGTCTGTCATAAGCTCTGCTTTTCAGATTAAAGATCTTGGAGATGCGAAGTATTTTTTGGGACTTGAGGTGACACATTCCAAGAAAGGAATTTCAGTTTGTCAAAGACTGGAGATGCTTGAAGAGTTTGACATGCTTGGTTGCAAGCCAGCTTCAACACCAATGGAATTTTGTGAGAAGCTCAGTTCTGAGTGTGGAGAATTGTTAGATGATCCCCTGCATTATCGATAACTGGTTGGTAAATTAATTTACTTATGCATTACTAGACCAGATATAAGTTTTGCTGTGATTAAACTTAGTCAATATATGTCGAAACCAACTTCTGCTCATCTTCAGGCAGCCCATAGAATATTGCGTTATTTGAAGGTTGCGCCATCACAAGGGCTGTTCTTTTCTGTCGATGTTGATCTTAAACTTGTTGCTTACACTGATGTAGATTGGGCCTCTTGTCCAGATTCTCGCAGGTCAGTGACGGGATTCTGTGTGTTTCTAGGCAGTTCTTTGGTTTCGTGGAAATCCAAGAAATAGGTTACTATTTCGAGAAGTAGTGAAGAGTCGGAGTATAGAGCCATGGCTGAAACAACCTATGAATTGGTCTGGATTTGTTCGGTACTTACTGATTTTAATGTTCAGATTTCTAAACATGTGGCTTTGTTTTGTATTATATGTCTGCTATTCACATAGCCAATAATGCAGTATTTCACGAGCGGACGAAACACATTGAACTCGATTCTCATTATATTCAGGATCAGATTCTGCTGGATTTCTCAAGCCTCTGCATATTTCATCGAAGGACAATCTTGTTGATGTGTTCACTAGACCACTGTATATTGAGCATTTTAAGGGCCTCTTAATCAAGATGGGAATCCACAATTTGTATTCTCCATCTTGAGGGGAGTCTTAAGATGTATTTTCATCGTTTGGTTCATTTTGGTTATTTTCGGTTTAGTTTTCTGTTACAGACTTTGGTTTATTTTGGTGTATTAGTCTGTTTCGTACATAAAGAACAGATTGAGTATTTTTTGAGGTTAATGAAAATTTTAAAAATTATCTCATACTATTTTCGATTTTTCTCCCTCTTTGTTCTTTCTTCTCTGCTCCGTTTTCTTCTTTTGGTCTTAGATTCAGAAACACAAAAGACCCAATTTTACTTTTTTTTTGTCTACACAGTAATTGACTTACACAAAATAAACAATAGCTTAATTTGTTATCTCATGTTTTAAATTTTTTTCTTTACAAAAAATAAACAATAAATTAATTTCCTATCTGGTGTTTACATATTTTTAAAATTACTGAAATAATATGTCGTAGGGGATTTTTAAAATTTTAAAACGAATTTAATAACTGTATGTAAAATATTTTTTTGTGATCGAACACGACAAAAATCGTGTTTGAACAAAAAGAACCTAATTTGAATAATATTTAAATTAAATATAAAACATCTAAAACAATTCCCATTCAAGACAAACACCAAATAAAAGATCCGTGAACCAAACCGATTCGGATGCAAATATTCAAATTTATAAAATAATAAATGGAGTGCAAATATTCGAATATTACGTGTCAAAGCTCACCTAAAATGTTAGTACCGATGGTCCCACTGGATTTAAAGATGGTCAAATGTCGGGGCCCACCAGGGTCATATTCATCAATCGGTGCACCCATTGGTCTCTTTTGGACCACAACCACCACCTTTCGAATGTACAGAAAGCTACCTATTTATTACGTGTGTGTGTGCAAGTATGGCTTTCCAATAGGGCCGGGCGTTTCGGTTCGGTTCTTCGGAACAGGACTGAACCGAACCGTTAAAACGGTATTTTTTCT